GTAGAAGGCGCAACAATTATGACTGGTCCAACAATAGATTTACGAATTGTGGATTGAGTTGCGTGTGCCTATCCTGACTATGGGCATTTAGGTAATTTTATCTTTGTTGTCAACTTTTAAAGAAAAATCTATGCAATTAATTATAAAAATATATATAATATGATCCGAATTAAATAAAACTATATTATATTAACTGTCAAATATGAAAAGTAGATCTTTGATATTACAGATTTTTTTTCATTTAATAAATATTATTTTACAATCTTAAACAATTTAAATTATAAAATAAAATATATATTAATTATAATAAAATATAATTATTTTGATTAAAAATATAATTTAATAGTACTAGTGAAAGAAATTAAAGAAAATCCTTTTCGTGTAAAAGTGTGAAAAAAAAATTTTTTGAGGTGTTAGTTGCAACACTAGATTATTCACCCTAAAATCAATAGGCATAAACAGCGTGGGGGGCAGGTTGGGTTTTTTCTGTTTTTTTGGGGTTTGTCCAACATGCTGTCCATTTTTGGGAGAGGAAATTTCGCAAGCACTAGAAGGGAATTTAACTCTCAACCTTCGCTTAGTTTGAGAATTCTGAATTATAATTATAATTTTAAATTTTTTTAATTTTTTAATATTTAAAAATATATTAAATGTATTTAGTATTTATTTTAATTAATATTATATATATTTTTAAAATATAAAAAAATTAAAACAAAAGATTAAAACACCCAAAAACAGTTCTCAAATGTAGACTAGCGGCAATGGCGAAGCCGGGAACTTGATGGGGGCACAGGCCGTCTAAATTTTTGAGATATTGATAAATTGGTATGTTACTTTTTTTGTTAAATTTATTTTGATCCTCAACTTTTATTATTTGCAATCCTTAACTTTTATATTGTTTTTGTTCTTAAATCTTTTATTTCATAATTTCAGTCATTTTCCTATCTTCATTGCAGAACAATAACAAAACACATTGAAAAAAAATATAAAAAAAAATGGACCAAGAAAAGAATATCAAAAAAAAAAAAAAGAGGAAGAAGAAAGCATAAGCAACCAAAATCTCTACAATTCTTTGATTCTTTGTCACTAAACGTCTTCTATACACATGGAAAGAACAGCATCAAAATTCAATAAAAACTTTCACACACTGTATAAAAACAGAAAAAACAAAAAATTCTAAGCTGCAGGGTTTTTTTTTTTTTTTTTTGTTCCGGACACTAATAATGCCCAAAATCTACCCAGCAGAAGAAATCAGTGAACTTAAATCTCTGGCAAACGGCCAATTGAAAAATCTAAAACCAATCTAGAATTATGTGCTTCTTTTTATAATTATTAGACATAAAAAAATCGATCAACTTTACCTCACTTCCTTGTTTTTGGCGAAAGTTGGTTTCCCGTGTCGGGAATCAGGATCCAGAAATAAAAACTGTTTTCAGAAAGTTGCCATTCTCGTCTACATTGACTACACTACTTTTCTCAGGCGATCCCAACGACTCACAATGTTCTTGTGGCAACATTTAAGTTCTTAAATGCTATTTTGAATTTAGCATTGAATTTCTCGTGCTAAAGTTATTAACTTTAATAACAGAATCAGATCATAATTCTACTTAATCCAAAACCCAGAAAAAAAAAAAAAAAAGTTTGAGAACTGAGACTGCTGGAGATATTGTATTGGCAAAATCCGAGTAGGACAAACACAATGTTAGCCAAATGCTCCTCTGACTCTGGAACTTTGATAGTAGATTAGTAGAAATAGGTAACCAAGCAGCTAAGTGGGTTCACTGTTTCAACAACATTTTTGCCTTTAAAAGTCCTCTGGATTCCCCTTTTCTGAGATCCATGAATGAAGTGGTACCAAAAGGGGGGAATGAGCATGAATATGGTGGTCCATATGTTCACTCACCCTTTACTGCACTCACAACAAAAACCTTGTTTAGCTATATAAAAACAGAGTAAAAGGTAAAAACAAGGACTCAGATGAGCCTAGAATAGAAAAAGGGTTATTAGTAATTAATGAAGTAGTGGTAAGGTCCCTCGGAGCACATGCTCAGCATTTACGAACCTATGTTTGTGTGCTATGTGGGGACTCACTTCATTTGCCATCAGCTTTCCTCAGCCTTTTTATTCTGGCATTCAGTCTCCTCCCCTGTTCCTTTTCGTCAATTTAATTGCATTATGTCAAAAATATCCTAGAGTTTTACTTAAGTTGATTATTACAATATTACCTGCTGCCCGAAGAAGAATTGCTATTTTATTAGCTAAAAGATAGAACGTTGCTCAGTGAATAGAGATAAGTGTTCATTAGTCCTACTTACAAAAATTAAGTGAAAAAAGCACTTAAAATTAATTTTTTAATAAAATATTACAAGAAAATGTTAAAATACTCTTATTTTTATTTTAAAAATTAAAATATTTTAATTTTAAGCAAAGATCTATTTACACAAAAATCTTATATATTATATTATATAAAATTTTAACTATAAATCTTTTTATTTTTAATAACTAAAATTTATAACGACTTTTTAAATAAAACTATAAATCTCTTTACTTTCAATAATTAAATTTATAATAACTTTTTAAATAAAAAAATAATTTTTATTAATAAATAAGAATAAATTTTAACTATTAAAAATAAAAAAATAAAAGATTGAAATTTTATATAAATATAATATGTAAAATTTATGTATAAGTAAATTTATATTCTTTAGTCTTTTTTAATAACAAAAGTAATTAAAACAAGTAATTTTGAGATATTTTTACTTAATTTTTTTACTATATGATTTATAAACATTTTTCTCAATATGTGCCTTTGCCTACAAAATAGTTAATGTAATCTTTAACCAAGAACAGATTAACCATTTTACAAGGACCCATGACTCTAACCGGCATCTTCATGCGCATTAATGTTCTTGTAAGTAAAATAGTTGTGATTAAGCAGGTCCCCATATCTTTAAACCATCCCATCAATCAGAGATCCACAAACAATAGGGAACAATATGGCATCAAAAGATATTATTTCACCTCATGTTTGCTTTGTTCTTCTCTCTGGTATTAATGCTCCACGGGTGTTGATTCTCTCTGTCTGAACTGCTTCAAACTTTCACATTGGTCTGGTCTACACTTTAATATATTCTCCTCTGCTAAAGCCTTCTTTTTCCTGAGTCTGCTCCATATACAACCATGTCTCTCCTTTTTCCGTCTCTTGTTCCTCCTTTTGTTTTCACCTGTTTGCTTATTTTCTTGCTCACAGGTAACTCCTCAGTACTTTCTCAAGCCAAAACCACCAACACTACTCGCTCACACATTCAGCTTTCCATTGATTACTACACAAAATCCTGCCCTCAGGTGGAGCAACTCATTGGCTCCATCACTTCCCAACAGTTCAAAGATGTTCCTGTCTCTGCTCCAGCCACCATTCGCCTGTTCTTCCATGACTGCTTTGTAGAAGTAATACTAATTCTACATCATGCATATAAATTTCCATGTATGGAGAAATTTAGGAGAAAACTGATCAAACTTTCATGGTTGCAGGGTTGTGATGGGTCTGTTTTGATATCCACCGAACCTGGAAGCAACGTGCTGGCAGAGAAGGAAGCTGAGGATAACAAGGACCTAAGGACGGAGGCCTTTGAGACCATAACAAAAGCAAAGTCCCTGGTGGAGAGCGAGTGCCCTGGAGTTGTATCCTGTGCAGATATTCTTGCAATTGCAGCCAGAGATTTTATCCACTTGGTTTGTCCCTTTCCTCCATCTACTTTTCAGCCTTTTCTTCTTTCTTCTGAGTTTTCCATAACAGACTATTCAGTTTCTCCAAAAAATCAAGAATAGACTTTAAAGGACAGAAGCGAATTCATGTTTTCAAGTGCATAATCTGTCATTCTGTCGTTTATAATCAACCATGTAAGAAGAACAGACATGACTCTGCAGCTAATTTGTCCTAAACTGTTCTTGACTACAGCATTTTCGGCCTCCCAGATCATTGAATTTAAATCATCATAAATTAATTATTGCTATTTTGTTCTTATCTCTATCTAAAAAAACTACATATTGAGCTTGAATTAGATAATGAAGCCTCTGTTTCAGACTTTTGTCTTATCTTCATTAAACCAACCATAGTCAATGGATAAGCAAGCTTGTATCTCTTAGGGCGCCCCACCATATAAGTGTTGGAGGCTCCATGTTGGAGATTTTAAAAGTAAATAGGAAGAGGCTTTGCATGAGGAGAACTATGCCTATTATATAAACCACTTTAAAAAAATAAATAAATAAAAGCACTTGCAAAATTCAATTTTAAGGAAAGTATTTTTTTTTTTAATCAAATTTAAGTAAACAAAAAATTACCTCATTTTTAAAATCAATGAGGTGCAGGCAGGAGGACCTTACTACCAAGTGAAGAAGGGAAGGTGGGATGGAAAGGTATCGATGGCATCCATGGTTTCTTCCAATCTCCCACGCGCAAATTCAACCGTCAATCAACTGATCGACCTCTTCACATCCAAAGGGCTAGCCCTGGAGGACCTGGTGGCGCTCTCCGGTGCCCACACGATCGGATTTGCCCATTGCAGGCACTTCTTGAGCCGGCTCTACAATTACGAAGGCACCAACAAATCTGATCCGATCATCGACCCGAGACTCCTCGAGGCCCTGAGAATGTCGTGCCCACATTTCGGCGGCAACACAGACATTGCTGCTCCGTTTGATGTCAGCACTCCGTTCTTGTTCGATCATGCCTATTTTGCAAATCTGGAGGCTAAATTGGGATTGCTGGCTTCGGATCAAGCTCTGTTTTCGGACGCCAGGACGCAGCCTCTGGTTCAGGCTCTGGGGATGGATAAGCAAAGGTTCTTCCAAGCGTTTTCAGCAGCAATGGAGAAGATGGGGTCGATAGAGGTCAAGAGAGGAAGAAGACATGGGGAGAAGAGGAAAGTTTGTAGCATGCACGCTTGAAGCTTGTGGGTGATTTTTGATATTAACGCAGTGGCTTTTGTGAATGCTCCCTTTTCTTCTTTTCTTTTTTTTGAATGTTTTGTTGAGAAAACTTGTGAATTTTATTGTTCTAATTACCAAAAAAAAAAGCTAGTCCCCATTGTTATGTTATATTGATTTTTCTTTTCAAAAAAATTTAATCTAATTTAAACTGTATTAAATTATACTATACTAATCATAGAATGAAATTTAATAATCTATATTTTAATATTGTTTGTAAAATAAGAATAATTGAATAAGAGAAACTCCAATATCAACCATTCACTCATATCTAATAATTTATATTATATTTAAACTGCATAATTAATGTTTTTTAAACGAGATTGGAGTTTTTCATTCTTGCCAATTGCCTTAGGACCACATTAAGGGTTCAAAGTGCCTATATATGTTGATGCTTATGGGGCCATACATGATGCTGTGAAAAATCGCAAGTTTTATGCCATGATAAAATCACTCAGTGAAGGTCTCTGGGAGAAGACAAGCATTGCTGGGTTGAGGTCCTGAGACAAGGAAGGAAAGTAAGGTTTTGTTTGAATAGACATTATAAAGCATAAGTTAACAAGTCTATACCTGTATGTCTTCTTGAAATGTACTGGAGGCTTAAAAAAAAAAAGAAAAAAAAGTCAAACCCTTTTGGCAAGGAAGACATTCTTTGATCACAGCTGAACCAATCATAACCTTCCAACTAAGATTACTTGCACTTGTGTCACAAGTTTCAGATTTAACACCCCAAATTCTTAGAATCCTAATTGCCGCATTTGCATAACCCTCCAATCTTTCTTGTTGTTGAATCATTTTATTCCCCTTTCGTCATTGCAGATATTGTTTTTTAATTAGTCAAGCGTGTGAACCTTACAATATATATATATATATATATATATATCATATCCCTTGCTGTTAATTGATTAATTGCTTAAGCAAGGTGGCATCATATACTTGTGTGCCAAGAAAGGATCTTCATAAAGATCAAATTCCTTTTGTTCACACTACAGTATATGAATTATGGTGACATGATACTTAATAAATTACCAAGGATTTGAATGTTGTCATGTTATATTGTATATTTTGATTCCTAAACCTCACAATTTTACTCTTTCACTCTCAAAAAATTTTTTATTAGATGGTTACTTTATTAGTGGATAGAGATATCGTTGACATGATATCCTATTATATTAAAAGATTATTTTGAAAAAGAATGGTGAAATTAAACTTTCAAACATCGTATTTTCCTCCATTGATAAACATTATTCTATTATGAAATGTACCTCTTAAGAAACAACTTAAGTGAAAGATTTTGATAGCCCTCCCTCCCTCTTTCCCCTCTTCCATGTTTCGTAGTGCACAAGCATTTTCGTTGAACTTGAATAGTAAGTCAAATGGTTAGGGTTCCTTTAAATTATGAATTTGGAAATTATACTTCCAATTTCTCAAGTTAGTTTAACTTCCTCTGGTCTTCGGTATTCGAATACAATTGAAGGAAGTATTTCCAGTAAAATAAACAAAATTCAAAGTATTTACATGAATTACGCCCCAAAAATGATTGGGGCAACCACACAAGTCAACGGGGAAGCCTTAAAATACACTGATGCAGCTAATTCTTTGTTTTCCACTGAATAATTTATACAGGTAGTTTAATGCTCAAGTTTCCAACTGGATTCCCATTCATGGAGTATGCTGTTCAAATTATGCGGGCAGAAGAAACCCTTTATATTTCTCGATCTTCAAACCCTGTAACGCTCTGGAGATCTTTGGAGATTGAGAGATGGCGGTGGAAAGCAGAGTTGATACAGAGGCGACACTGGAGAGCGTGTGGGCGAGATTTATTGCAGGAGATGGAGGTGAAAAGACAGCAACCTCGACTGAAACAGAGTCATCGAAGAGGTGGGAGGAGTTGTCTGGCCTTGTTGGGAGAGATGGATCCATGGAAATTCTACAGAGGCTGCCGAGTCTAGGGAGGTGGGTATCAATGGGAACAGAGGCCTGGGAGGAGATTCTTGATGGGATAATTCCTGAAACCAATTTAGAACGGCCCTGTTGTGAGGTTAACACAAGCAGAGGTGATATAAATCAGGGGAATGGATTGAGCTCTGTGAGGGCAGCAGAGAAGGTGGTTACACGACCTTTCCGGGGAGTGAGGAGGCGGCCGTGGGGCAAATACGCGGCGGAGATAAGAGACTCGACGAAGAAAGGCGCTAGGGTTTGGTTGGGGACATTTGAGACGGCGGAGGAAGCAGCTCTGGCTTATGACAAGGCTGCTTTGAGGATTAGAGGCCCCAAGACATACCTTAACTTTCCTCTTGAGACAGTTGCAAGAGCCATGGGAATCGAAAATGACTTCAATTTTGGCTCATTTCCAACTTGGCAAGGCAACAGAGGAAATGTCTCAAATCCCAGGAAAAGAACATTAATGGATAGGGAAGAATGTGATAATTACATGATGAGTGTGGAACCTGCATTGAAGAGAAAGGTTAGTGAGAAAGATATGATTTTTTCTAGCACCACAAAAAGAGAAGAACCTGCCATGGAGAGGAGGTGTATGGAAGAAATATTTGGAAATGGGTATGATGTGGTGGAATTTCAGGATTTGGGTAGTGATTATTTGGAGAGTTTGCTGTCTTCCTTCTGAAAGACCACCCCCCACCCCCCTAAAAAAAATAAAAGAAAATGAAATGAGGTATTATTGGTGTAAAAACATTGTTCATGTATATTTTTCCTGAACAAATTTTTATTTTGTTTTTAAATTTTGATCTTGATCTTAATTGGGTTAAATTATTTTACTGTAATATTATAATTATAATATTATATAAATTTAAAATTTATAATTATAATATATTATTAAATAAATAAATACATAAATATTACATGTACCATAATATTAAAATTATACAATTTTCAATTATTTGAAGACCCAAATACCACATACTCCTAAATTTTGAAACCCCAACCATTCGAGAACAAGGTTTCAAAAAATTTACTTTCACCCGAATTTGATAATATATAGAACCAAAAAACAAGATTGATATCATGGAAAATAAATCATAACCATGAATGTTGGCCATGGCCTATGACCAAAGACGTTTCCTCTGGGGATTTTGTCCCATAATTTTCATTTAATTTTCGTCTCATTTATCATTTTCCTTTCTTGTTTTATTATTTTCTTTACATAATCAATCCCTAAACTCAGAAGGTTTGATAAGCAAATATTTTTCGTTTTGTAGGACTAGGACCTAATGTTTCTATTTTCGCTCTTGAAAACGCAAGTCAACTCGTGCACTGCATAAGTGTCTAGCTTAAAACTAGAATGTTTTATATCCGAAACCAATCCAATTAATACCCAATCTAAACCAATTCAATATGTAATGGTTAAATTTAATAAATAGTTTATTAACTATATGATTTATTTTAATTTAGTTTAGAAACATTTTTTTCTTTCAAAATTATCTATAAACTATCAATTTTGTTTCAAAATGATTTACTTGACAAACATTCCGAACTAGACTATTGGAATGTTGGTCTAGACAAGTTGGTATAAATAAATTACCCCCTAAACTTTAGAAAAATATTAAATATAGTACATATATTTTTGTTTTTTGCAACGTTTTGTTTTTAAAATTTAAATTTTATGTTAAATATAATAATTAATTAAGATAATAATTTTAGTTTACATTAATCAAGATTCTAATTTTAATTTACAATAATCAATATTATAATTTAAATTTTATTATTTTTTAAAAAACTTAATACCATTATTAAATTATATATTTTTTAATTTACAATAATTTGGGGATTTATAAAATTAAAATGAATTTTTATTTTTTTTATGTAATTTTAATAATGTGCAGGTGTTCATTTAATTAAATTAAATATTGGAAGGATTTATTTATTAAAAATATTAATATTTAATAATAAATTAAATTTTTTTAGAAATAATAATATTGATTATTGTAAATTAAAATTAGAATCTTAATTAATGTAAATTGAAATTTTATCTTAATTAATTATTACATTTAATAAAAAATTGAGTTTCAAAAACAAAATATTGTAAAAAATAAAAATATATATTATATTTAACATTTTTCAAAAGTTTAGGGGAATTCCGTTGGTTTAGTTTACGAAATGTTTGTCAAGTAGATCATTTTGAAATAAAATTGATAATTTATAGATGATTTAAAATATATATATTTCTAAACTAAATTAAAATAAAGTACATAATTAATAAAATATTTATTAAATTTAGTCATATGTAACTGTCACAATGTAACACAGGCCTCCTCATCTGGTCCAGATTAACAATGAGGTTTAACAGCAAATGGTGTAGGTCCAATTAGAATGGGACCCTACACATGCAGGCCCAGTTATGTTGGATCTTGCATGTAGGCTGGCTAACAACGAGTCTTAACAGAAAATTAGTTAGGCCTGGTCTAAAAAGAACCCCACAAGTGCAGACCAGGTTATGTTGGACCCACACTATTAACACTGGGCTCTTCTTTTTCTCTGTCTTCTAACACAGGTCATCGGGTGGTTAGGATGGTGCTCATCTCTCCATTAAAATTTTTAAATTTTAAATTTAAATTTTGAATTAAATAAAAAGGAATTTGAAAAAGACAAAAGAGTTATTTTCCTTTTTTTTTTTTACAATAAAAAATTCTAAGATAGGTTAGTTAATATCTGTTTCTTAGGAAAATCGAACTTATGATCAGCATGCATTCCACCTATTGTCCAATGAGCAGTGTAGCCATCACTGAATCACATGAGGGATTGCAAAAGAGTTATTCTCTTTTGTATAACATTATAATGCATCAATGGTAGACAGGGGTGGAGGTAGAAATTTTTTTTAAGGGAGGCAAAAAACTAAAATTTTCAAAGTTCAGGAGAGGTTAGATAATTTTTCATATGCTAATTTGCAAGATTTTCAAATTTCAGGGGGCGCTACCCTGGCTCCGCCACTGATGGTAGAGCTAGGAATCGTTGTTAGGGGAGGTCATTTTTCTAAATAAAGAATTTATAGTAAACAAAAGTCACAAAATCTAAAATCAAGCTAATCATATATCATAATAGAGAATTATAATAATATAAAAGTCAAATATCAATGACTTAAATATTATTGAACCAAATTATAGACCATTAATGAGTTAAAACCTCACTAACTGAGTAATTCACAACTACTAGTTAGGAGCAACAAAATTTTTTAAGTCAACTAATTAATATATTACATTTCATGTTTTTATAAATTGATATATAATACTTGATATCTCTAAAAAAAAATTAGATTTAAATATAAATCAAATAAATTTGAACATAGAGTAAATGTTTAAAAAAAATACTTCAAACTACCATTAAAAAACAATTATTGAAAATAAATAAGATGGTAATGTAAATATCATAATTTAATTAATTTTCATTTTTTTCCTCATCTTTTATACCATCTCAATTTTCTAATCTTCCTAATCATCGCCTAGAGATACCCAATTAATCATCGCCTAAAGTTCCCAATAGATCAATAAACAGGAAACTGAGAAAAAAAAATGAAATATTAAATTTAAAGATAAAAATGATTAAGACAAAAACTAAAGGCCCAAACTTACTTTATTTATTTATTTTTTAACATTTTGTTATGGGGTCGACTCGAACCGTTGCTCTGGAAAGAGAACATAAACTTTACAAACGTAGCTAAAACCGCTTGACCCGAAGGCCACGTTCCAAATTTACTTTAATTACAAATTTAAAAACCCACAAAATATATTTTTTCCAAAGCCAAGGGGGTCAGCGCCCCTTGGCCATAACTTGGCTCCGCCGCTGAATCCATCGTCAAATAATAAATAAATAAATAAAAACACACAAACGACTAATTCCCCCAAGCAAAGAAAATTGGAGATTCAATGTCCTTGCACTCCGGTTATTTCCATCTGCATTATTTTAATACGTAACGGTACAGGGATGATATTTTTATATTATTTTTTATATAATTTTTACGTATTATTAAATAAGTAAGTATATTTAATATTATAAATTTTAAATAAAAAATAATTAATTATTTAAATAATATGTAAACTTGTATAAAAAATAATAATAAAGTTATCTCTAAATTATTTTCTATTTTAATTTTATTTTGGTTTGAAATCTTCTTCAAATTGGGTTGCTAGAACATTTTATTTATTTATTTTTTTGACTGAGTACAACTGGTTGGTGAGAGAATTAAACACTTGTAGCTGGTAAGTTACGCTCAAACAAACAAGGCTTCTAGCCGGAGTGCCGATGGAACATTTATTTGTTATGATCAATTTTAATTTTAATAAGAAAATAATTCACATGCAATATGATCTTAAGATTAAATAGAATCACGAACAACATCCTTATATCCAACTTTAATTGGTCTAACTTTTCTCTAATAAAATAAAAATATAATAATTAGTAAAATTTTATATTTAGTTTAATAGCATTTTATCATGTGTTGTAATAATTTCTTAAATTAAAGGTAAAATCTGAATAAAAATGTGATAATAAAAAAATAAATAACTAATTTTGAACCCTTTTTAAAAAGAATGATAACTAAAGTTAAATGAAAGAGTAATTGAATAAATTTGAAGGACTAATAAAAATCAAACTGTTCATGCCAAAGTGTAGGATTTGCCACAATATATTCCTTTTATTTATTTTATGGATATCCCCTTTCTTACTTCCCTCTCGATACTCCCATTTTCCATCTCTTTTCCCGAACAGTAAGGTTCCATATTTTCCACAATTCTCTGGTTCTTCCTCACTAAACCTATTATGTACAGATGGAAAAGAACATTATCAAAAGAAAAGAAAAACTCTCACACGCTATAAAAATAGGAAGGAAAAAAAAAAAAAAAAACTGCATCATGGGATTTTTCGTGGCGGACATCAAGAATGCATAATCCTAATCTATCCATTTTTATAATCCGATCCCATCTCCGGTGACTCCCCAGTCGTGCTACTCTCAGACTCCGATCGTGATGTCACCGTTGAAACCCTGCTAATTGAACTACTACTCTTGGAATCCAGAATCTTTTCCTCTGATTTAATCGTGATCAATTTCGGGTTTAATCTTTCTACCCCAGAAGAGGCGGTCACGACTTCAGGCGGAAAGTTGAGCACAGCCTTAGGACCGCGCATCTTGAAGGCTGCCCTGTCATAGGCCAACGCGGCTTCCTCCGCCGTCTCGAACGTACCAAGCCAAACCCGTGCGCCTTGTCTGTTGGAGTCACGAATCTCTGCCGCGTATTTCCCCCACGGACGTCGCCGGACACCCCTGTAGTGCTTCTTCCCTATGGTCCTGGCCGGTTCCAGCCCGTTCGATCCATTGGTCTGACCTCTCTGGATTGGAGAATTTGATGTATTTGTAGGCATGGCCTGGTTGGCCTCGTTGAGGACTTGAAAAATGACCATGTCATGTGAGTCATTCTCGTTAAAAGGAAGCTCGCCACCACCACCACCGCCGCCGCCGCCGTTGGAGACCGGAACCATGGCTGCTACTCTTTTTTCTATACTCTATTTTGAGGGCTGAAATTTATGCGAAGTGGCTATAGAGTTGTATATAACTTGGAAAATTGTGGGGTCTTAGGAGTTTTATTATTGAGGGAAAAGGAAAGATCGACGAATGAGAGAGTAGGAAGGAAGAACGGATATCCTTTTGCCACTTCTCCTCTTATTCTATCAACCGCTTAGTTGGTGGGTGACAGTGGTTAATAGTTTGCCCTTGAACTTTCTTTGGTATTTCAGGAACGACATTGTCAAGAAGTCCTGGTACATGTATTTACTCGGATTTTGATTGAGAGGCTTAGGTCATAGGTGGAATTAACTATCATGTTTTTTTTCCTTTTTTTTGGCCATTAGGTAGTTGGAAGTACACATCTATTTTAAAATAATTATTATTTTTTAATTTTAAATTTTTAAAATTATTTTTTATTTTTTAAAATAAATAAATATTTTTAAATTTAATTTTATTATTATTTACTTATTTTTAATTAATTAATTTTAATTTATCTTTTAACTCTTTTTCTAATAATAACCATTTTTTTCTTTTTCTCTTCTTTATGTTTTTCAAGTTTCAACTTAAATATACAATAAAAATAATATAAATAAATACATAAATGATTCAAAAAAATTTAAATTAAAAAAAAATTTTAAATAAATTTATAAGAAACCAAATTCAAACCATTATCATAAAAAAATATATTTATATGTGACATGACGTCACTAAATTGAAAACTCAAGTGCAGAAAAAAAAAAAAAAAAGACAATTATTACATAAAAGAGTATTATTAACTATGTTTTGTACTTTATACAAAAGATACGTGAGGAAGAGGTCATTAGTAAATTTGTTTATGCGGCTGTTTGGTGACTTTGCTCCTAGAGGAAAGGGACTAAAGGGAAGTATATCCTCCTCCATTCTGCTCATCCATATTTATATAAAAAAAAAATAAACGATTTTATAAGTAATTTGTTCTCGATCAATTATTTCTTTTTGAAAGATAGAAGTGTTTTTTTTTAATTATTAGTACACCCTTAATAAAAATTTTTATATTTATTTATTAATAAGATTTTAATAATTTTAATACAAATGCAGTTCATGTTGAAAAAAACAAGAAAGAGTATTCGAGAAATGTTGGAAGAAAACAACACTTTCTAGAACTGTGTTACCGTTTTTCAACCCCGCACAACTCTAAAGTAAGTGAGGGCACATTTGAAAATTAAGGGAAAATGTGAGGGCAGATAAGGTTGAGCACCGTAGTTGTGTTGGTGACGCTGGCAGTGACGTCACTACAGTGACCCTGTCGGAAAGAGAAAGATCATGTGATGTCATGAGGGTCGTCACATCTGTTTGGACGCCATGGGCCCTCTCCCTTCAAATTGCGTTTTCCCAGGAATTCTCAAAGAGCAATTTTCGGTGGAAGAAAACAAGATCACATGGGAGTTTGCTGGGCCTATGCAAATGATCTCGATTTCTGAGTTGCCCCCTCCAATCATGCCTCAATCTTGGATGCGATATAATTATTAAAATATATAATTTAATTACCCTTAAAATAAAATTAATATTTTTAATAATACAAAAATAATATGAATGATTTGTTGATC